TCACTTTAACATATTTCTTTATTAAAGAGTAATTATAATAATAATACGTCAAACTAATTAACAAATAAGTTTACATAATGTTTGGAGCTAGCAAATAAATATATGATCTGATCTTAGTGGAATATAATTAGTATGCTATAAAATCTAATTAATCTTATTTATTAGGTATTTATTTTCATAATTGTATTTTAAAAGAAATAATTAATTCCTCATATGGTCATTATAATATGATTTCAAGGCCGCCAATAACGCTTAAAACGACAGTTTGCGTGTCCGCACACGTCTGGTTACACAAGCGACACGCATCCGACTCACGCGCACGCGATTAACCTTATACGTTTTACGTGTTACTCTTGTAGCGACATTGACTCCTGGATCATATTTTTCAAGGTTTGGTTTGGTCCTGGTGGTGAATTTTAGCTTTCGTCATATTTTTTTGTTGAATATAGTATGTTATATTTATTAAAAGCATTGCTTAATGTGCAAAATTTTTCCTTAAAAGCCTCTTATCAAGGGCTTTAAAAACAAGTTTATTAATACCAGAGTGTAAACATGTTTTTACTTTATATATAAACATTTTAATTTACTTGTTAATTGCCTCAAAAGTATAAAGTATCTATTTAACTACCTATAGGTATGTTTCTTACTAAAAAGTAATGCAAGAACGGCTATTGCTTGAAATACTAACCACTTTATGGTCTAAAAACTGGTATTTTATGTACAACTAGCGACTCACCCTCGCTTCGCTCGGGTTCGTCCCGGTTGCTTTCCATGTTTATTTCCAGGATAAAAAGTATCCTATGTCCTTCCCAGGGTCTCAAACTATCTTCTTACGAAATTTCATCTAAATCGGTTCAATAGATCCAGAGATTACCCCCTAAAACCTCACAAACTCACAATCTCACAAACTTTACCTCTTTATAATATTACTATAGATTAGTATAAGTAATAAAATCGATAATGTAACTATATGGACGTACGGAATAAATAAAATATTTCGTAGTTAATAGAAAAATATTGTCAAAAGGCTAGAAAGTGCGTAGTTTAGGTACTTATCAATAAATAATTCAGACGACAAGACCGGATATGATAGAAAATATTGTATTGTTTGTTTCTATGATATAAAGTAGTTACAAGTTGTTTAAAAATAATAAAATAATAATTACGTTAGTTAATATTATATTTTTTTTTCTAGTTCAACTGGTTTTCATCTTTTTAGTTACTTTTTATGCAGTCGGGATTTTTATTTTTATAATATGTATATATTTTTATTTACAGCTTTTTAGTTTTTGCCAATTACACATTTGAAGTTATATTTATCATTTTTTTATCCTAAATTATTTTTAAACTTATAAGTTGTATATATTTTGTAATCGCCTTTTAAAAATCTTTATTTTGATACAATTGGCGCCTAAAATCCATTTTAATTTTTAACTCCTTTTATATAGTCTATTACACTCGCGTTATCAAGACGATTCTAACCAATCATCTAAATCGGCCCAAGCCTTTGGTCTCTAGAACGCTACATGGGAACAGACATACATACATACCAGAGATGGGCCGAATATAGTTGGAACCGAAAACGAACTTCAGCCGAACATTCGGTGAGAATAAAAATTCGGCCGAACTTCGGTTCAATTTCGACCTTCCTCAGAGGCAGGAAACATAATTACAAACAAAATTTGCCAGATAACTGTCTTATCTGGCAGAAGCCTGTTACGTTTTGTTCCTTTGGTGTTTTTACACCATAACCTGCCTCAAGTAAATTATAAATACGAGTAGATAGATAAGAAGATATTGTTAAATTTGATTGTTGAAAACACCATTTAATAATTAAAAATACCTAATGTTTCTGAGTGAGTTTGTGAATCTAAAATCTGTTTTTTTTTAATTCAATTTACGAATTGTAATTAAGACGTTTGTTAGAAGAATACTAAGTTTATTTCATTTTGTCTATTTAATTAGGCAAAGATTTTTAAGACTTAAATTAATAAGAACTCATTTAATTTATTAGTGAATACGAGTTAAGGTTTACATGTTCGGTGTTCCTAACTAAAATAAATTACTATGAGTGTATAAAACATATAGTAGATATAGTATAAAAGATTCAATTTTATTTTACTGTTATGATATACATGCTTTCAAAATATCTTTCAAAATTTGTCAAAATAGTGTAAGTAGTTTTTTTTTCTAGTGCCAAACGTTCGGCATTCAAACCGAATTTCGGCTGAAAGCCGAAGTTCGGTTCAAGCTGCCGAAATTCAACAGAATGTAAAACGAATTTCTGCCCATCCTTAATATATACATACATACATATTACATACCATAGACTGATAAACACATTACCCTCCTTTGCGTCGCGCAGTCGGGTAAAAACCACAATATTTTGACTTATATTTATTATCTACGTGACAGATGTTTTGATAAGTTATTTAAAAACAAATAGCCCGAAGTAGTTGACAGTGTTACACCCCCGTACTTCAGAGAACACCTGAAGCTGTCGGTTTGCCTGATCTCTCACGACGAGTGTTTTTCGAGAAGAATAATGAAATATACAGAACAAGCAGAACCCGCGGCTTCGATCGCGCTAAAACTACAAAAAAAGTCTAAAAAGGTAGGCTTAATACAAAGTTTCACAAACTTTCATACTCTATTTTATCCATATTTATGTGATGAATTTCGAAAAATCCTAAAATACGTATTTATTTAATTGTATTGAACAGCATTAATACCAAGTTTCAAGTTATTCTGATCATAAATATTTTATGGGTTGTTTAACATGTTTTCCTGCATGAATGAAATAATCCGCGGTAAAAAGTAGCCTATGTCACTCTCCAGCCTTCCAACTATCTCCATACAAAAAATCACGCCACTCTGTTTTGACGTGTAAGAAGGACAGACAAACAAACAAACACACTTTCACATTCATAATATTAGTATGGATATGCTAAAAGGTTTTTTTCGTTTCCTTATCGATGTTATCTCTTACGCGAAAAATATTATTTATTATGAGAAAAGAATTATTTTATACAAATAATTTTAAAAATTAAAATTTATAAATATAAATAATGAAAAACAGATTATTAAAATTAATAACATACAGCGCAAATCTACATACACATTTTATATTTACATTTATCATTTGCATAATACGTATATTATATACTGTATAATAATTTATGTATAGACGTACATTTATATATGCTACATACATACATTGTATATAATAATGTCGTAGGATGATTTGATAATTAGAATTTTCGTGAAAACCCTAGGAATTGCGAAAACACGGATAGTTAGACAATGGTTTGGTAAGTTTTATTTTTTGATAACGTGACAGTTCCGACTTGGATAACGTAGGTTGAGAAGGCTAAGAAGAAAAGGTTAAGGCGGGAGCTACCTCTTACTCAGAACAACCCTTTCTTTCTATCTAGGTTGGTTAGGTTAGAACATATTTTTACAAAAACCGTATCTTTTTCCAGTAAGATTGAGAATTTTTTTTTGAGTAAGATTGAGATTTTTTTTGTTTTCACGATATCCCTAGGTATTTTGCGAAAATTCGAATAATCAAATCATCCTACAACATATACATATATTGCATATGCTTTTAATAAAAAAATTAAGTACTTGTTTTTTTAAACACGTTTGAGACAAAAGATGTTTTGGCATATAAGTTAAATTGAGATTTATAGAAAAGTATGTTTGCTTATCAGTCTGTCTCACTCGAGAACGCATAGGTATATAAATATGGGGCTTTCTTATAGATTACTAACATTGCCCGCGGCTCCAGACCAAAAAACAAATTCTTAGTTTTTACATATTAGTATGCTCTTACACTCCAGTTTTTGTATTTTTTGCTCAGAAATGAGACATTTTCCCGCGGTAAAAAGTAACCTCTATGTTGACCCGGGTAACCAGCTATCACCATACCAAATTTCATCAAAATCCCTCCAGTGGTTTTTCTGTGATACGGTAACAGACAGACAGACAAAAATTCTAAAAAATATAGATTCGGCCTCTGTATCGATAATAATGTTTGTTTCAATAAGATTTTCCAAAAAATATTTAATTTGCAGATTCGGCTTAGTTACAATTTTATTATATGTATAGATTATTTAGCATACTTAGAACACACATGTTAAAACAATTCAATGCAATAATTAAAGTAAAAAAAAAAAAGAAACAACAGACATGCCCATTCAATTACAAGTGTATAACTCGCGTCATCTAAAAAAACGCTGGCTGTCAAGCTGCGCAGAAGCGATTTATCGTTCAAATTGGTGGTAATCGTCAGTTCGAAATACCATCGCGCACACATAAGTTTTTAATTACGAAATGGTTTTATATATAGAAAAGAGATAAATTGTTTTTGACGTATATTGTTTTACAAAGAGAGAGTCTAATAATAATGCAGTTAATAATAAAAAAAATGTATTAAACGTATCACTGATTTTTTTGTAAATAGATTAAACATTCTGCACTGAATCAAACATATTGTAATAATGAATAGAATTCTATTTAATGATATACTATCTAATATATTTTTCAATGTCCCTACCAATAACTAATATATGAAGCCGCGAACGAAATGCTTTGAAAAATAAAATAATAGGCTTAGTACTTTTGTGCGCGAGTATACCCATGCGCAAACATACCCTCTCCACTTTCTTCCAGCGTTCTTTTTAGATGACGCGAGTTATACATAGCATTTATAATATTATGGAATTTTTATAGTAATTGATAAAAATACAGAATTAACAAGAATTAAAAACAGCATAATTTAAAATAAACTAAAAATAACATTTCATAATAAGGCAAAGGGGAACACTACCATTTTTTTGCATTGGGGCCCAAAAAGGCTAGTTACGCCACTGTCGATCACCTGTACATATTATTCACTAGATCGAAAAACTATTTTGTTGATGTGTGTATTCATAAGCGAAGATAAGTATTAAAGTTAACAATTAGTAAAAGTAAAAAATTAATTTAAATAAACATACCAAGGTGCCTTTGTTAACAAATTTTGCGCGTCGCCATTTTTTTGGACGGAATTTTCGGTTGTCGCCATTTTCTACCTGAAAACAATATTATGTTAAATAATTTATGTATGTATTTGTATGGTAACTGTCGTGACACTGCCAACTAGGTTAGGGGCGAATGTATGTGCCCACAGAAGTACAAACCGTACATTCATATTTATTTTTAATCTAAATAAGACGGTATTAGTTTAAAATAACATAAAATTATCTTTGAGGGTAAGTTTTTAACCTATACTAATACTAATATACTAATACTTATAATATTATAAAGAGTTAAGTTTGTGAGTTTGGCGACGTTGTAGGGGGTAATCTCTGGATCTACTGAACCGATTTAGATGAAATTTGTTAAGATAGTTTGAGACCCTGGAAAGGACATATGATACTTTTTACCCCGGAAATCATCCCTTAAGGGGGTGAAAATGGGGATGAAAGTTTGTATTGGGAAGCAAGCTAGTTTATAATAACAATGTAAAAGATGTATAAATAACAATGTAAAATTATTTTATTTATAAACATAAATAGATATATAACATAAATGAATGTCAAAAAAAAAACTACGTACATATGTATGTTACATAGTATTCAATTTTTTTATTGACAATCATACATCGTCTCATGCAATTTTAGTTGCACGTGGTTAGACGTGATACGTGTTTTTCTCACATGGTTTTCACACATTATAGTCCGGTCAAAACAGACATCTTAATTTACAATAATTAGCATAGAGCTAAAACTTGGTACCTGGTCTTAGGTATATTATTAAAAATAGGTATTCGTTCATCACCACTGATCCTACATCTGCCAAAAAAATTTATTCAAGGTTAAAGGTCAAAAGTATCGGGTTTTTTTTCAATTTTTCTGGTAAACAATAAGTGTTATTACAAAATTAGGTCAAACAAAAATTGTAGACCACGCAATTAAAACCTACAAAACCTACAAAAATTGTTCCTATAATTTTTTTCCTAAGAATTACCATAATTGAGATATTGCGATTCTAAAAGTTGAAGAAGTCGTATTCTACATAATATGCACGCATTCCCTCACCACCTGTGAGGCACCACTAGTTTTTGGGCGCATTTTTTAAAGTGGTTTCTTCTGTTAACTATAAAGTGGTAGTATTTGAACGAATTATTGTACACATACACTTTTTTGTCTTTTTTGATCGGACTACGAAAACACTAGATATAACTAATTTAATCTACCATAGTTCTTGACATTTTTAAAAATAATATTAAAAAGGCTATATATATAAATGAATTGGCGAAAAATCCAAATTCAATGCCAAATTTTAGTTGCAAAAATTTAAAATTATAATTAACATATAATTTAACATCATAATTAAAATTGTAATTAACGTGAAATCTAAATATATCCAAAAAAAACCGCAAAGATATTTTTATTCAAAATAAGTACCTATCAAATATTCGCATTTTGCGTAAATCTAATATTCTAAGATCCCAATCTATGTGTGGAGCCCTCATTCTTTTTCCAGACAAAATATATTTTTTTAAATCTTATGGTAACAGAAAAAAAACACGACCGAAAAAAAATCGTCTGGAAAAAAGAGTGAGGAGTCCACCACATAGATCTGGATCTCCTACTAGAAGTATCAGGTACATATATTAAATAATTATTTAATATAATACATATAATAGGACTTACAGTAGTTTGATTATAATCAATGTTTAACAAAAAAGTAGACTGTCTCAAAAAAAAACTATACCACCTTTGGGTGTGACTTTTTTTTATCTATAAATTCCCATAAAAACATGCAGGCGAATTAAGTAGGTAGCTCCAGGTCTTTTAAAAATCGGTCAAAAACAGTAAAAAAAAACATTACTAAATATTTGTAAAAAAAATAAAAAGGGAAGAAAAATGGAAATTAATGTCATAACGAATTTTAAGTAACAACTATATTATCCAATATGCAAATCATATAATTCTATAATAGCAGGCACGCCGCTTCTTGTGGCGAGTACGGCATGGTTTGACCTTGGCCGCTAATGTGTAGCAATCGTAGCCGTGTGAAAAAATAGCATTTTTTATAACTATAATCAATAATATGTACCAGACGCCAAATTCCAGATATGAATAACTCGATATTATATTGTTTAGAATAAAGTCCAACGATCTGTTATGTCCCTTAGAAAAGAACTAGCAACTCACCCTCGCTTCGCTCTTGTTCGTCGCTAGGTACGTTTTAACGGTTTGTATGAAATCTAAATCTTTGAATTTGTCAGCTTTTCTGAACTATATTAAGCATTTATTATACATATAAACCTTCCTCTTGAATCACTCATTTGCTGAGAACTGCATTAAATTCCATTGAGTAGTTTAAAAGATCTAAGCGAACAGACAGCGGGAGCGACTTCATTTTACTAGTAGGTATACTATGTAAAGAAGAACATAATAGGTTTGCTATAGTTTTTTTTTTCAGACTAATAAGTGACCCAAAGTTATAGTTAGATTATCTCGTCTATAGGAATGTCGATGATGTAAACCAAGAATAAATGCATTTTTAATTTCTTTACAATATGACGTATTTAAACACGGTGGGTTGAAGAAAGATATTTTACCTAAATTATGAAGTTGACTATGTATTTCCCATTATATATCTAATTATTATTTATGTGTACCTGTATCATTTTTTTGGAATTAAACTACCTATAAGTTTTAATAATAATTCTTAGATTAGGCCAGCCGCAATCTGCCATGAAAAATGAATCAGATAGTTGGTATTCAAAATTCAAATACTAATGTGCATAAATATCTCAAAAAGTAAATTCAGTAATTTTAAATGTTTATTCAATAATATAATCATTTAATTATAGCAATTCGTATTTTATATGTAGATAATAGATATCTAAAGTTCGTAAAAGTTAAATAAATTGTTATGATAAGTAACAATGAAACAACATTATCAATGAAGTAGAAATCGCAAATATACATACTACATGGTGAATTCGGAGTAAGTATACGCGTGAAGTAATTACAATGGAAACATAAATAAATATTGAAAAGGCTTTTGTTATATTATTATGCATAATAATTGTAATTTATATGATTACCTTACAATTTTCCAGCTTTTATCTATTTCACTATTTTAAATAAACTTATATCTGTCTACTTAATATTTTTAATATGTAATTATTTTGCACTAAACAATAAGCTAGTTTCGACAACATTGTAGTATGGAAATTTTTTTTATAAATAAACAATGCATTAATAAGTATGAAAGTTATTTAGAATAAGTACCTACCTATATTATTTCAATATTATAACTAAATTTACACTAATAAGTAATAACACATCTTTATAAATAATAAGTTTTAATCCATTTAAGTAAAAATAGACAATAAAAACAAATAAATACCAACCTTATCCAATTAATACTAATATCACTTGTCAATTGGTTAATAAAAAATGGCGGGAAGATCGCGCTAAATCTCGCGTGCAACCGGCGACAGACCGCGAATGACTGAGACGCGATGCGTTCAGAAATTAGGTCGATTATTTCAACCCAGGGTTAGCAAATGACCGGTTTTTGTTTACCATAACTAATGTACGTACTTTAATATTTTTATTTGTTCATATTCTTGTTCTTTTTCAAAAATATGGTTTTAATTGTAATCTTAATAAATAATCCTTATTATATATATATATATATATATATATATATATATTATATATATATATATATATATATATATATATATATATATATATATATATATACACACTGTACATTAGATATTTTTTTGTTTTTACCGCATCACAGAAAAACCACTGGAGGGATTTTGATGAAATTTGGTATGGTGATAGCTGGTTATTCGGGTCAACATATATGATACTTTTTACCGCGGGAACATATCTCATTTCTGTGAAAAAATACAAAAACTGTAATGTAAGAGTATACTAGTATGCAAAACCTAAGAATTTCGTTTTTGGTCATCTGAACGCGGGCGGAGCCGCGGGCAATGCTAGTTTAATAAATAATAATAATTGAACAACCCTAACGGTATCATTGGTAGGTAAGTTAAATCAAAACGACAAAAAGAATGTAACATGAAAAACAAAATAGGTACAAAGACAAAACATGAAAAACACAATGCGTCGAATTTACATTGCCTAAAGTAAAAAAGCAGAATTTTATCCTGATTATGAATAATGAAACACTGGCAATAACTGAATCAGCAGTATTTTTAGGTATAACACTAGACTCCAAACTCGTTAAAAACTTAACGGATATTAATTAATACTGCCCGACTAGTATATTATAGTTATTTTCATAGTATTTTATCTTACGGAATACTTCTTTTAGGCAGTGCCGCGAAAATTAATTCGATATTTATTCTTCACACAGACATTAAGTTGTATTTTCTGTGATTCTTCAAAAAAGAACAGTAGGTACGGGCTATTTATGATCTAAGAGCTCGTGATTCCCTGCAAGATACTTTCAAAAAAATGGTATTCTTACAGTTGCGTCGTAAAAATTCAAATAATTATTATATAAAAAACAGTGATAGACACACAATAAACACTAGGAATAGAAATAAGCTTGTTACGTATCCAAAAGGTAAATAAATCCTTCATGGGCTTGAGTATACGCATATATAATAAGCTTCCACAAAATGTCCCAGATTTAACTTTTTAAAAGTTTAACGATAAAATTCAAAATATTTTATTGAGCAAAGCGTATTGTTCAAGAGATAACACTGTTCAAGAATTTGTTATTGATGAAAATGTGTGAAATTAAGTAATAATTAATATTGACTCATATGCGAGCTATCTATGATGTTATGTTAATAAAATAAATGTAACTTCGATATTTAAAAGAGCAACTGTTGAGTTTCTCGCCGGCTCTTCTCAGCAGAACTGCTTTCATAGCTGGTAGTAGCCTCCTCACAGACTGACTACACTGACGCTTATATTATTATTATTATTATTTTAATAAATTGACGACATAAAAATCACTTGTATTAAGTCTAATTGAATAAAATTTCATTTCATTTCTAAAGAGCAAAAGCTT